GGAAAGAAAGATAAATGGAATTCAGCCTGTTGAGGTACTGTTATGTAAAGGTTACATTGAGAAACAGGCGGTCAGCGGCAACAATAACAGCCTGTTTCAATCATGCCATGTTGTCGACTAGTTGAGAGCTGAGATTATACGCCTCTTCCTCTTGACTTTCTCCAGCCTAAGCACATCCGATTTATGTTGTTATTTAAACAAACCTGTAGGCCAAACATGAACTTTAGGAAGGAACCATGAGGGTTATGTGAGGTTTATAAATTCCCCCCCCCGCCCCCCCTCCGCCCTAATTTCTTCTCCAAAATATATCCAGTTTTCTCTTGTTTCCTGTTACCTAGTTACTGGATGAGATACAAATCATATTTTCGTCAAGCCTCTTCAATAGATGTTGTTATCTGCCTTGTTGAGAATGGAAAAACAAGGACATGCTGTTCTCTTCTCCTCTCTCACTGGTCGTCCTACAGCTCTCAGTCACTGCAAACGCAGAAGTAGCAGGTGCTGGATCAAGCTGTGTGTGTGTGTGTGTGTGTTTGTGTGTGTGTGTGTGTGTGCAGTTGAAACCTGTCTATCTCTGCTGCTGACAGGCAGACAGTTGTCCTTCAGTTGTGCTTCGGTAAATATGCTGCTACCTGTCGCATTACTTTTCCATGCGGACATGCCCTCTGTGTGCTTGGATAGCTGCGGAAATACCAGCTAACTAATTGTGGAAAGACAGTGAAGAATCCTGAACACATTGTGCACATCACACACATGCTTACTCACAAGTCTCTCTCACACACACTCATGCACAGAGAGAACAGAGAGAGTGGGTCACCGCAGGGAACGTTGTGATGGTAGATGAGCTGGCCACTTTTCAGCCCGGTGTAACTCAACTCCCCTCCTCTCTTCCTCCTCCCCCCCCTCCTCTTCCTCCTCTTATTCCCTCAGGATGTCCACTCATAGAGACCGCATGAATTAGTAATGAGCACGCTCACTTCTTACACAGCGATCAGGCTGGGGGTGTTTCAGCGTCAGGGGGTTAAAAACAAACAGTACATGCTATTATGGAACATGATCTCTGAGCGTTCCCCCATCTCTCCTCATGCCAAAACATCAATTTAAGTGATATGTGCGCGTGCGTGCGTGCGTGCGTGCGTGCGTGCGACAACCTTATCGGTTATCACACATGGAGTTTGATGACATAGGAGTCATATTAGCTGGCAAAGGCTCATGGAAAATTCACAGTTTGCTTAAAAGCACTCTGTAGATAGGGCAAACAAGTGCTTTGTTGTCATTATAAACACAATTACAGCGAAATCAGAGGAGTTTTCAAACAAACAATAGCTGGTTAACATTTGAGTAGGATTTAGATTGTAGTGATGTTGTACTGGTTTGTGATTCTTAGTGGGAAATCTTGTTACACAAGGCCGAGTTTTGCCAAGGTTGTAATTTTCATGATTCGATGCAGAGACCCTGCAGATTTTTTAAGCTGCACTAATCGTTATTTATTTTCAAAAATACTCCAAAGTGGAAAGTGTCACCTGTAGTGACGAAGCCCTCACCTCAATGCAGCTCTAAAGCATTTCTCATTGTTTTTGTTTTTCATTACGACATTTATTTTTTGGTTAATGCCATGATATGCTGGCTGTACGCTAAGGTTAAAGGGTTGTGAAATGGTTCAAACCGGTTTGTAATAAAGCTAAACACTGAACCGGACCGATACATTGAAATGTACCACCAGGTGTCACACTTACAACCAAATCTTAGTATTGTGTGTGAGAGAGTCTGCTACTCACCTGAAGCATTAAGAAGACAAGCTTTAAACACGTCAGCACCTCCTATCGGCATTGAGGATTAGGGATGTCACAAGAACTGAGTGTGATCTAAAAATATGAAAACATAATGGTTCTCATTTTTGTGTAGGAGGATCCATTTATCAACATTGTGATGTGTTCAAGCTCCATTCAGTAATGTATTTGGCGAAGGTAAACTATAATGAGTGTGTGTGACTCACAGCGACACTTTTGACACAGCTTGCTGATGTAGGTTATTCTGAAATTTGCCGGATTTAAAAATCTGAAGAAAAATAAAACTGTTTAACCATGTAGACAGGACTAGAACGGCAAAATCGGAAATCGACATACTCTACTGTATGCTACAATCTCAGCAAGAACGACAAAGTTAACAACTAACCAGTGACAATAGCAAAACAGATTCAAATCATAAACCGATAAACAGTGTCTGTTTTACAGAATAGGAAATCAAAACTGTTTTATTGGTTCACTTAAAAATTGTCTTGAAAGCTCATTTAGAAATAGCTTTGCTGCAGGGTGTGTTCTCTGACATCAACACACTAATAAACCTGATAAAAATAGACACTAAAAATATTTAATGGGTGCTTCAATGATGTTATATTTCAATTCAATAAAGGGGGGGCTCTCAAGAGTGATTACAACATAAATACAGTTTGCAGAGGGTGACCCTGCTGCCCTTATACAACATGTGTGGGTTCTACTGCTGTTTGTACACAATTGAATGGATACAGTGTATATACAATTAAAGTGATTTGGTTAACTGCTCTTTTGACTTTGGGGGTGAGAGAATGCATTTTAAATGAGCACACTTAACACTTGGCTGTCCCTGTATCGTGGTGAGTCACACTCTTCCCTCTCCTCTGGCTTTTTTTGGATTGTAGCGTGCTAAAGTATTTGGTAATTCTCCTCGAAACGCATAAAAGGAGTCAAGACATTCACACATTCCTGACTTGACCTCTCTTCTGCGCTTATTTGGAATGGTTAAGTAGAAATGAGACTAAAAATGGTATCACAGAGACACGAGGTCAGCTCTGAAGTTTAGCCCGCCGCCCCGAGGCACTTAGCAAGAAAAGACCAGGTGCACTTACATGGAGAGAAGAACTGGAAATAAAACAAGATGGAAGGAGGGAGGATTATGAGAAGTAGTGTTAATCTTCTTATTTGTTGAAATGCTAATTGTTTTACCACAGTTTGTATCACACTGCACCAACTGTGTTTCACAGCTTGCTCTGTCATCAGCAGCTCTGCGTGTGTCCGACAGGGCGATGACGTGTTCATCTGCACAGAGCAGAAGACAACCTGTATTTAAGAGCATATTCCTATGATAACGATCACTTAAAAGTACTCAGCTGTTATGAAAAAGACAGTTATTAGGGAAAGCTAAATGGCAGTAGCTCAAATAGTAATTGTAAAATGTTTTAGAAATAATGCTATAGGCTTTGAAAATATACAAAATAAGATCCTGTGGACTAAGGGCTAATGTTATATTTCCTTGGCAATAGTAAAATAAATCTATTTCTAGAATTGAAATGTATGTATGTATGTCCTCAGGTGTTGCATAATACTATAATCTACAGTTCATACTTTTAATGATTTGATTTCTTTTTTTAATTTATTCCGAACTTTATTTAACTTTCCAGTCCTGAACTAACATATTGCAATGTTGTGTTAAATGATATGTTGAGTTAGCAAATATTAACAGCTTCTCATATAAAAGTTATTGTTTCACATTACTTTTTTTAAAGATGACTTGAATGGATTTTTATGGGCATTATTCACTGTTATGGGGAGGTTTTATAGAACAAACAATAAGTTGATTAAAGAAGAAAAAGTGTTAGATCACTTAATCATGAAAATAATCATTGTTAGTTTCCACCCTCTAGTCGTGCACAGCTCAACCATTTATGGAAATTAGATTACGTCATGGCTTTCACTTTGGCTCATATTGAACCTTACATATTCATTAAACCTTAACAATTGTTATCGTTATGAAATAGAGTATGATTTGTTTGGAGTCACATCATGTCAAGAAAGATAAGAGCAGATGTATCTGGGCAGGAGTTTTTGATGGATTTATCCAAAGGAGACTGTAGAACTAATTTGAGTGTGCTGAGTTTACAGATACCTGCCATCAGTAAGCTGTCAGTAATGCTCAGAGGCACATCTCATGGCTGACATGCTGCCTGTGTTCCTCCAGCTGACACACACACATTGAACACACACATACACACTCCATCCTGGTGAGAGCTGCTGTGTCAGCCCAACAAGAGAAGTGTTGTGGGAGTATTTCAATCTGGTGTTTCTCACTGAAAATATATTGAGACAAGCATTGGCTCACAATCCTGGCCTGATTTGATAGGGGCCGATTGATGTTGATGCCACTGACTGCACACATTTGGCTCTCAGGACACATGAATAGATTAAAGGAGAAAGGCAATGATATGGCCACTCGATTGTTGTGTGTTTTTGCAAAAAGTTAGTGCAAAGTGATGTGTGTCCATCTTGATTTTTTTGGAAAGACTTGTTTTCATAGTCATGTTTCTGTTGTGCTGGGAGACGGTCGGCTAGGAGACAACTAACAACGCTTCTGATTACTCCGAAACAACGCTCCCGGCAGCCTTCTTTCATTTTCCTTTCGCCCTCCTACTGAGCCGCTTGATTGAGTTCACAGCTGCGGACGCCAATGGCGCCCAAGGAGAGGATGGAGTAATAAAACATGGGAGATATGGGAACATATCATATGGGTGTAGTTAAAGACCAAGTGTGGTGCATGAGGATAAAAGGGGCAAGTGATCGGAGAGAGGAGAGGATTACATAAAAAGACAGGAAGGGAGAAGATTGAGAGACAGACAGTATCCGAGAAGATTGAAGGACAGTAAGGGGGAAGTTAGAAATAATTTGCCCATTAACTCGATAGCAAACAAAATGGGTGCAGAGCAGTTGGAGTCACGCCTGATGCTCAGAGAGAGGTGTCAGTGAATAACTTAAACCCTCAAACCCTTTTAGCTCACTCTAAATTTGACTCATCCTAATATGGAATTAGTGACATCATTTGTGATGGATATCAACAAAAATTATCTCAAGCAACACTCATTTGTGATGCTAGAGCTGAAACAAGGCATCAAACTAATAACTCATTATTTAACCTGCTTTATCATTAAACATAAATATATTGAAATACATTTGTTCTGTTTGTGTCTTTTGCAGGAGAGGTTCGAGGCGTTGTTTAGGATCTACGATGAACAGACGACTTTCCAGATGTTTAAAAGCTTTCGAAGAGTGCGGATTAACTTCAGCACCCCCGAGGCCGCTGCCCGCGCTCGCATCGAGCTGCACGAGTCCGAGTTCAACGGCCAGAAGCTCAAACTTTACTTTGCCCAAGTGAGTGCCAGTTAATTGGTCTGGGAAAGGGCAGGAAGGGGGCCTGGGACATGGACCGTCTTAGGATAGGCACTGCTCGTTTATATGGGGAGTTATGCTTCAGTGCATCATTCACTGCAACACACACACACACACACACACACACACACACACACACACACACACACACACACACACACACACACACACACACACACACACACACACACACACACACACACACACACACACACACACACACACACACACACACACACACACACAGACAAAGAACTCAGGGAAGGAGGGTGACTCTCGCTCTCAAGTCAGTTCACTTCCTCTCTTTTTTTATTTTCTTCTCTGAACCACAATTGAATGCTTCGTCAACCTACCACGCCCCCTGTCAAACCTCATCAGTCACATGACTGAACACATAAAGACATACATCCTTGATTTTTCATCTCTGTGCACTATGTCTGTGCCTTTAGGGAGAGAGAGAAGGATAAATACATTCAAGTGTGTTTCTAGTGCAAACTCATAATAAGAATAGCATATATATATATATTCTGTTCTATGATGAAATTGTTTTACATATCGGCTCATAGCTACAAAAAATAAGATTCCAGATGGCATACATTGTTTAATCTATAGGTGAATCAATGTCAGCATGTTTGGTTAAAAGTCAACTAAATTGAATGATTAGCAAGTCTAGAAATGCTATTGAAATGTAGCCACCAAGGCTATGTTAAAAAAACACCATTTAGCCTAAATGCATAGCTGTTATTTGGCCTTAAATAATCAAATTGTGGATAACTGGGTAAACATGGTCAAATTGTTGGCAGTTTTTACACAGTCAATCACCAGTCATGACCCCCTCTGCACCTCTAAGTACTTTGATGTAAGAGGATTAAGGATTTTACCCCACAGTTGCCACATGTTGGTATCGTAATGATGGCAATTGGGTGCTATCAAAACGCCAAATCCCCTCTCCTGGGAAGGATCCTGCAAATTGAGACCAAGTGACTGGAGCTGTGACTGCAAACTAATGGGTTTTTCCTGCTCATAAGTTTCAGGATTATCTGAAGAAAATACTGGATCTTTGACAACTATACCAATTTCAGCTTTGCATTACTATATTATAAATATTAGAATTATTATTTATATTTCTCCTCTGTTGCCTCAGGCAGTGTGGCATACATTTAGGTTGCTGCTGTGTCCACTATCTAAAGTTCAAAGGCTTTATTGTCATATGTACGGCTACAGTGTAGTTAAACAATGAAAATCTATCTATAAGACATAAAACAATACAAGAACATTACAAATAGTGCATGAAATGCTGTACAGTGAAATAAAATAATGCTTATTGTAATACTAGATAAATATGTGAAGTGCAAACAGATGAATGGTATGAAGTTGTGAAGGCACAGAGATAGGTATGGTTTTTATTTTATTTGTATTTACTTGCACTATTTTATCTGTTTTTATTGTGTTGCACTGTTGTTGGAGCATGTGACCTAAGATTTTCATTGTCATAACTACACTGTAGCTATGTACAAATTACAATAAAAGCCTTGAACCTTGAACCTTGAAATGTATACACATAACCAAGAACATGAAATATTCTTCACAGAGAAATTGAACAGCTTTGACCCACTTTCAATCCCCCTGACCTCCTCTTAAGAGCACTACAGCCTTTATCAATGTCCCTCTCCTCTCCCATAGGTCCAGAGTGGGGGTGAGGACATCGACAAGTCGTACCTGGCCCCTCCCCAGCCCACCAAACAGTTTCTGATCTCGCCGCCTGCCTCGCCTCCTGTGGGCTGGAGCCAGAGCGAGGACGCTACGCCCGGCATCAACTACGACCTGCTGTGTGCAGTCGCCAAGCTCGGACCTGGTCAGTCAATCTGTATGCACCACGCTCACACTCAGATTAATCGAAACTCACCGACATGCACATAAACACGCGGAGGAAATTGTGTTTAATGAAGGTATAATTCGTATTTTTGAGTCATCCAGATACAAACAGGAAATCATTTCACGCTCCTCAGCAGGGTGTTAAAGAAAGGTTATTAGTCTAGGAAGCAATTTGACAAAGGGCTTGTGGCGGACGTTGTTGAATCATCACTGTTTTATTCTTGACTTCTCTCTCAGGCGTTTCAGTAATGTCTGTGAAGCAGCGTTAAGTATAATTTACCTGATCACAGATGCATTTGTATTTAAAACTGCCATTACGTTTCAGATAATGTCATTATGAATAGAGAGTGGCCTTTTAAAATTGATGGGAAAAGGCTGTCAACATAGAATTTCTCCAGTGCTACTGTGCACGTGACAACATAAACATAAATAAATCAACTAAAGCCCATAAATGAAATCCACAGTGCTCGCCGCCATCTGTCAATGTCAAGGGTGCTTAACCCTCCCGCCTGCATTGTGACATCTCTAAGGAGATATGCATCCGTCCTTATATCTGTGTGTGTCTGTCTGTGTTTGATTATGGATTTGCATGGTCTTTAATTTCCAGGCTTTCCAAAGCCAACAGTGTAGATCTGCGCAAACACAAGCTAAATTTGTTATGATGTCTAACAACTAGCTCAGAACATGGCCTGCACGCTGTCAGAGTTAGGGTAAGATTGGAAGCTCCGTCAGGCTCTTTACTTAATTTGCGGACGTTTACACTCACATTGGGTAACCCTCCTTCTGGAAATTGTCTAAAAAAAAAACACACAGTTTAAAAATAGGAACAATGATGTGCTGTAAACCCAGCTTACAGAGTTTAAAACGTACATGTACCCTTATCGTAAATAGTACTACCTTACAATACAAGATAAATTAAGTTCTTCACTCCTTTCAGCATGCTGTTATGTACAGTGGCATATTTTAAAACTTTTTTTTTAGGTTCTAGTTTTAAAAGTAGATAGGGATCGGAGGGATGAAACCCTCTTTAATGGTCACACATGCAGAGCACACAGCAAACACAGTGAAATTTGACCTCTGCATTCAACCCATCCTAGTACCAGGAGTCTAGTACTAGGAGCAGTGGGCAGCTATTGTACAGCGCTCGGGGAGCAATGGGGTTGTCCGGTGCCTTGCTCAAGGGCACCATGGCAGGGCCCAATAGGTCCCTGCCGTGTAGCAGTAGCTCCAAGTAGCAGTCCACACTCCATATTTAGGTCTGTTCAGGGACTTGAACCGGCGACCCTACGGCTCACAGTCCAAGCCCCTACTGACTGAGCCACTGCCGAAGTAGTCAGCTAGAGACAGTACTATATACCAACCGACAGAATTTACTTTAGCTAAATTAGCCATCTGTAGCTAATAGATGACCTGAAAGTGGCTAGGTAAACAAACCCCAGTTTCAGAAATTACTAAGAGTTCTATGTGATAAATCTAAAATAATTATAACTCTGAATTGTGTATTTTTAAGTGTGGCAAATTCCCTTGAAAATGATCAATTCAAAAATCGTAAAATTCAGACAAATACTTCACAACAAACTGATGTAATGATATTACTGTAGCTCAGATTCACTGCACCACCAATATATATGTTTGCAGTTCCCATACTTTTACAGTTTTATCCAGTATAGCTCAGCACAGTAACATTCGCTCTCCCAGCAGTCTCGCTCCTAATCAGCTTCTACGCTCAGAAATAATAACTCCTCTGTCTGCCTCGCGGACTAGATTTTAGATTGCAGCAACCTTTCTAAAATGTCACCTAACACAGGGAAATGTGTGGCACATCCACAATGTCTCCATGTTTGTGTCAGTGGGTATGCTCATGCCGGTGAAGTGGAAAACCTAGCTTTTTACTTTTACATCCTTTTCCCAAAAATATTTGATTTAATTTTCAACCCAACAGTATTTTATATTGTATATGTTTCGGCATATATCAGGGAGAAACTAACTTCCACTCCCAACTAACCTTACTGGTAATAAAACATACAATAACTTGTACACACACTGTCTAAAGAAGATGGTGGTTACAGTGAGTATGAGAATAAATATGGCATAAGGAAGAGGAGAAAATACGTTTGAAAATGCAGGTTCAAGCAAACATCAACTTTTTTTTTCAACTTAGAAATGTCATTTTGGTGGAGTCTATGTATGAAAGTCTGTATGTTTTAATATATATCCCTTGAATGTATTTAGCTCTTAACAGAGTTAGTGCGATTTATCTTCTGGTTGTTTTCTATTTCAGGCTGAGGTTTGCACATCTGTTTTTATTCAGTGTGTATTATTGGGATGTCTGGTCTTGAAGCAGCAATTTCCCTTTCTCCAAGACAATTTTATCCCAGGGAAGCCAATAAGCTAACCATAATAATATTAATAATAGCAATAATATCAGCTTAATAAAATGTTTCATAATATTGGGGTTATGTATAAGAGGTCAGTTACAAACACAGCATACTCATACCCCTTGAGAGCCCTGAAGATATGTCTCCAAATCTCTTTACATTTTTTACCAAATCCACCGCAGCATAGCACAGTTTTATTTATTTATTTAGGCACAACATTATTTCCTCCAATCATTGTGAGAATGGGTGGGGCAGCTTCCTTCCAACTCAGCATAACTGCACGACGAGCTGGGAAACATCGCTTCTAGTCAGTATTTATTTGAACACTATTATCTTTTCCATCATCAACAAAAGCATGATTAAACTTCCCCCACACACACACACACACACACACACACACACACACACACACACACACACACACACACACACACACACACACACACACACACACACACACACACACACACACACACACACACACACACACACACACACACACACACACACACACACACACCACACACACACCACACACACACACACACACACACACACACACACACACACACACACACACACACACACACAGTCCAGCTCAGAGGATCACTTTGGACACTTTCTGCTGTTACCATAGCAACATGAGGAATCAGGAAATGGCTTTGTTCCACGCCTCACATCCTGGCATCTGAGATCAGATTAGCGTTGGGCAGCAGCACGGCACGCTGCCTCCCCCTGTCAGGTCCCCGCGGTAACAGCAGGACTCTATTCACGCTCCGTCCTTCTGTTTGGCACCACATTGAAAACGCCAGTAGACCAATTTCCTCCTGTCTGCCAGCTGTCTGATCTCATCTCCATGGCAACTGTGATACAATCTAGCAAGTGGCTTTGAAACAATGTGCCGACCTGATCCCGAATGCTTCGATGCACTGGAAAGACAAACTGTAGAAACAACCTCAGTGTGTTATAAATAGTAACAATAAAAATAATTATGAAACTCACAAGCATGGTATTTCAACCAGAGCTGCTTAAGCGTTGATCTCCCTATCAATAATTATGAAATAAATAATTTGATTAAAACAATAAAGATAAGATAAGATGTACTTTATTGATCCCAAATTGGGAAATGTTGAAATAAATACTAATTTACAAGTCAAAGTCCTGCTTAGACTTAGAGTTAGACTAAGTAACGGATCATTCTTTAGTATCATAACAGTAGTATTAGGAAGATACATTATTATTCAATCCAAAACTGTCGACATTTTGAAAGTGAGAGGTCTGATTAGTTCTCTTATTTATTTATCTATTTTGAATTTGGCTTTGTTAATATTATGATTCTGTTTTTTCACATGCTCTATTTTATTCAAATTTATCGTACTCTGTTTCATTGCACTATTTTCATTTACGTTTTTTCTAGAATTCATAGATTAAGGTCCACCTATTCGACCCCAGTGGAGGGCCAGCAATGTTTGTTTTAGAAGGTGTTCTTTTTAGTTTGTTGAACTCCAAATCCATAAAACCAAATCTTAAATGACACAACAAAAACCCTGAACCTGCCAGACAGAAGAAAGAAAAGAGAAAGAGTGAAGGACTTACTTATACCAGAATATAAATAAAAGCAAGAAGAAATAAAAAAAGATATCATGAAAATTGAAGACAATAAGTACAGTTCTTCACAAATGTCATTATCACAAATGAATTGAATGTATCATTTTATTTGACCCCCTTCTTCTACTCTTCCTCTCTTCCAGGTGAAAAGTACGAGCTCCACGCCGGGACAGAGTCCACCCCCAGCGTGGTGGTCCACGTGTGCGAGAGCGAGACGGAGGAGGACGAGGCGGCGCGGCCAAAGCAGCAGATTGTCCAGACCAGACGTCCAGATGAACCCCCCAAAGTCTTCAACTAGAGAGGCCTCCCCCCGACACCGGGCGGCCCCCGACCGCCCTTTAAACCCGCAACACACCTGCCCTCTCTCTCTCGTCTCTGCACTCACAGAGAACGTCGATGCCCCTCATTTCAGTTCAACTACAAGTTAAAAACAAACCAACAAACATTGCTCGAAGACGGTGTTTGTGGGGAGCGTGGCGATGGAATGAGGCGGCTTGAAGGGGATGGATGAGAATCACACACACACTCATCACATTCTGCGGACAGCGTGGGGAGCGGCGGGCACTTTTGCCTCCACCCCACAAACCCCCCCTCGTTTTCAGCTAGAGGGGCGGGCATACCTGTCCCAACGCAGGCACCTGTCACTTATCACACACTCTCAGCTCTCATTGCTAGTCCTGCTCGGTAGCTTGCTAGTTAGTTAGCTTGTTAGCTTTTACCTATCCCTTCGTCTCACAGTCGTGTGTCTACAATAGTCTTTGGTTAAACAAAGACATTTTTTTCCTTTCTTTTTTACGATAAATTGTGTTTCAGATTAACAAATATACTACTATTTTTTTCTTCTTTTTCATTTTCATATCTGCTGGTTTGTCGCTTCAACTTGCATCAAGATTGAGTGTGTGATGTTCCCGCTCTTGTCTGCATGTATATACTGTATTACAAAAAATACGTACAGAAACACAAATACTAACGAGATATATCAAGAAAAAGGAACCTATTTAACATCACACACAGCACGAAGCGACATATGTGACTAACAAAGTTGTGGTGGCTGTTTGACTTTCTTTCTTTTTGTTGCTCGTTTTTTGCTTATTGTCTTTTTTATTTGGAGAGGTGTTGTTTTTTGCTGAACTACTAGATGTGTATTCTTACTATGTATTTGATACCCCAACACTTTTTGCATGCTTAGTTAATTCCGTAGATGAGGAGCTGAGGTGTTTTTTTATTGTTGTTTGTGATGACAGGAAAACAGTGTGAAGCTTTTGACGCAAGTGCATATCCCCGCGCAGAGTTTAAAAGTGACGTCTTAGGGGGGAAAAAAAGCCGAATGGTGATTGACACTTTTGGCAAATGTGCATTTGTCGCTTTTGTTGGGATTTGATGGATCAGAGACAGTTCATCCCCCTCATTTTTCTTCAAGAGGTTTGGGATGTGGATTTTCTTTTCTGATTCTGTTTGTTGTAGCTCACATCTTTAATGTCATGCTGTTTGATCAAACCCAATTTCTATGTGTCAGGTTTTCTTCTGAAACCTACGACTGCTTGTTTTGCACTGAGTATCTCTAGATATCTCCAAGCAGTTGCGAGGCTTTTGACCGTCTCTCGCACCAGAATACTGCGCTGTTTCCCGCTGTAAATAGCTGAACAGTAGGTCTGTGGAATATTCCTTTAATAATTTTTTGTTTCAAAGCATTTTGCTGAAAAAAAGGGAAAATTACAGTAGGTAGCCTGATGAAATATCAACCAAAGCATTCACTCACCCCATAAACATTTCTTACACTCAAATCTTTTGTTCAAGTAAGTAACCACCCTTTTTATCCATCATGTTTTATTTCATAAATATCTAGTTCAGTGGACAGTCTCCACACCAACATTTTTCCCTTTTTTAAATTAATTCTCCCCATAATCCCGTATAATTTTAATGATACAATATGGAATACAATATTTCAGAGCTTATGAAACAGCATGAACAAATGTTCCCGACAGGGCTTTTGAGTGTCAGCGGTGAGTCTAAACCTTCTTTGTCATTTGGCAGCATGAAATCTAAAAATACTTTTTTGCTACGTAACAATAGCAGTAAGCAAAATGAAAAACCCATCTGCATGTGAGCACTTTATTGTCACTGTTTTGTTTGTTTCCTTCACATAAAGTAGTCCTTCTCTAGACAAAGTAGGAAGCACATTGCATTTCTTCTCTGTTTCGTTTCTTTATTTGTTTTTTTTATCTCAAGCTGAACACCTGGTTAGCCTTTTCACCAGCATATTGCAGTGAGAGAAACACTCCACTTCCTTTTGCTAGTGTGAACCTTGGAGAATTTCAAGCCTTCTTTTGGATCTTTGGAAGTGAACTACTGAAAAGTTGTAGACATGCAGGACAGTTAAAGGTTTTAAATGAGACAGGATAACACCGCAGAGCAAAATCAATGTCTTTGTTTTTGGTGTTTGTCTGCAAGGAACATTCATTTTATCTGCTGAGAAAGTTCAACAGTTGTTTAAAATGTTGGCAGAGTGCAGTTTTAAAGGCACTACAGTAAAGCTGTCACAGTTATGTAAGCAGACAGAAGATTGGTGGAACTACTGAGGTGCATTATGGTAAAGAGGAAGCAGCGGAGCAGGAGGAAGACACTCATGAAGATTTTTTTACTCTCGTGGTCATGGTGTTTAAAACCGGGTGCATTTTGGTCACAGTTGAAATGAAATTGTATATTAATGTAAATATGCCAAGTGTTTTTTTGTTGCTGAGGCCAGTCCCAGTGTGCAGTTTGTTACGGCTTCTCTTGGCAATGTTGTAATGTAAAAAATAAATACAAAAATGTGTAATAATAAGTCCTGAAGATGCGCGATCAAATGTCCAATTTGACCAACTGTCATTGTGTTGTGTTCAACATGGACTCTGTTTGAATGTTTCTTTAATTTCTGGGGAACGTCTACTAAAAAGGTCAATAATACCGTTTGTCACTGTTGTACTGTTTCTGTTGAAATATGAATATTGTGTCTCGTATTGTAGAAATCCAGAAAACAAAGTAGCAAAACAAGCAATAATTTACAGTTCTATAATACCGGTATGTGTATTTTCATGTTCTGTACTTATTTCTCAGAGATGGTCTCTGTCTCTGTATCTCAGTATCCGCTTCTATTTGTGTAGTATAATAGCCATTTGTTTCACATAGAGAAATACATAAAGACTTATTCTTAAAAGCCATGTTTAGAGTTGTTCATTTTAGGTTTAGTTTTTACTTTAGGGGCCACACAGAATCTCAAACAAAATGTTCAATGTAGGCTATAAAACATAGTACGGATTTCTTACACATCATCTTCACATTGCATATTTATCTGATAAAAACACTCTTTTAGCACTATTGCTTGTTTGTGCATTTCAAATTGTCATTACATTCAAATTACAGAGCGACAGTAAGCATCCTTTTTTGGAGAGGTAAATCATTTAATTACTGAATGTTATTTTCCAGTATTAAATATGTTCTTACAAAACAATGCTTTTAAATGTCCTGTTTTTTATAAAATAAGCAAAAATATCTCACTTCCTTCTACCATATCATTTGATTTATTAAACGATATTGCAACTTGGAAAAGAAGATTAAAATTGCAAATATTTTAAGTGACATATTATTTTTTAACAATATTTATCTAGATAAATTAAATAGTGTTAAGAGATTAAAATATCACTTTAATAGCTGGAGGGTTTTTGTGTTGTTAAAAGATCTAGCAGGAAAACAGGTGCCTGGCTCTGTGACCCAAAAGTGATGATAAAAACATGTTAGACACCAAGTGGGGCTATGGATTGCCAAATCATGCAAATATAAACTTTTATAATTACCTTATACCCGTCCATCATCGCTCAGGAACATGCAATATTGTTCTCTCGTTATCATCCACTCATCACTTGTTTTTTCTCAATTGTTTTGCTTTTCTATTCAAGAGATTACACAATTCATGAATCAAACTGAGTCCCATTGGTATTGGCTTGACTTCCATACAAGGTTATGAAATAAAATACACTTCATTACAGCTGTGACATGCATTTAAATCCTACTTTATGCTAGAATGGTACAAAAGTGGTCCTGTCACTTGCACCTTGCACCTCATATTTCCCCAAAGACATTACAACAGTTAATGTGTATGGTCAGGGCCTTGTTTCAATGGTAAAGACACTGACAGCAAGGTTGAGTTAATGATTTTTCCAGTAAGCAATACTGGACATGAAATGTATTACATGAAAGGTAAGATATAGCAATACAGCCATGACCTAAAGTTCAACAGCCTATTGAATTTCACAGCTGCCGTTTCCTCGTGTCAGCCATGAAGACAGATGACTGGCTGCTCATGACAATAGATGTCTCTCATCCATTTCTCACTGACAAACTACTTCATTATTACATGAAGGGAAAAAAAGCAACAAAGCTAAAACAATGGCACAGTCTCAGCCTAAAGCATGTTTTGCAAAAACAGGTTGAACAAAATATATATGTTTCTACATCTTTTGTTACAGACCCAGTTTAAAAAATGTGTTTCCTGACATGGCCACTATGTAACATTAAGAAGTAGGTATGTAGAAGATCCATTGTCTTACATTATACCTGTGTTACTGCTGACTAACAGTTCAAAGGTCAAATTTAACAGACTGTCTGTGTTTTAGGAAGAGCTGATCAACAGCTGTGGGATAAAGGATATCTCTGCTGCCCTCTACGCTCCTTTCACAGCACAAAAAGGACCCTCATGATGCTAGGGGTGGGAAACTTTTCTTCACAATAACCCTTACTGTTGAACGTGAAGATGCATGTGCACTAGGAGGAACGGATCATGTGGCCCGGTGGGTATTAACGGGACCAGTGCCTCCAGATTCCTTTGAAGGTACCTTCCCTGATTAGTCAGCATTCGTCTCAGTGGCTCAATTCAGGAATCTTAAGTGAGGCATTAGTCATCATAAGTTGACACCTATGGTTGGCACATGAGTTTTTAGTAACATGGTTCCTTAAGCACACATAGTGGAATAAACAGGTTTTGTGTAATGGGTTTATCCTGACTGAATTTAAACATTTACTTCAGCTTTTAAATCAAAGTCCCCTAATGCAATCAAATGTTGATAAGTACAGTTAGTGTAAACACTTGAATCTCCCTCAGGAAGAGATTGCCTGCCCTGTTAAACTGCTGCCTTAAATTGTTAGGAAAAATACAGAAAAATATGACATATTGGTGAATGTTTAGCCGGGCTATAGCTTGGCTCAGAGATAGCATCGTCTGTCTGTTGGTCAATCTACAACTTTGGGCCATATGAAATACCTCAACGATTAAATGCATGGTCATTAATAACATTTGGTAAGTAATAGATATCCGTTGTCATAAGAGAATACATTCTAACAAGGTAAGTCATCCCTTAAAGGTAGGGTAGGTAAGAATGGAGAAACCAGCTCGAGTGCGCTAGAATTTGAAAGTACACATCCGAAAAAGATCTGCCCCTTCCTTCAGACTTCCTTACAGAGACCCTCCTCCAACACACACGAACGCGCACATGACCAATGAGGGCACGAGATAAGTTTGTGCACGAGATGGAATGCTGACAGGCAGATAGGCCATCCAATTATCAGATAATTGGACTTGCTTTTTACAGCGCCACGGCTTCCACAGATGAAATATTTGTATATATTTATTGTCAAAGCATTTAATTTATTCATTGCTATCGGGATGTTAAGAGCATTCCATGGAATATAACAAAAAGTGTTTCTGAAGTGAATTACCTACCCTACCTTTAAGGTTGTTTTTGTCCATTTCTATTTGTCCAATACGATAGTTTAGGATTTAGCACATGTTAGCATGCTAACACGCTAGGCTAAACCTGCTTAGCATATACATGCTAGCAGCATGGACGTAGTTAGCATGTTAACTTTAGCAAATGGGCTTTGATAACAATTGTATTGAAGCTCTAAGACTAAGTAAGTCACATTTTATTCATCAGTTCATAAGCTATTCACAATAATTGAGCATTTTATAGTAACTCAGATACAAACTTTATACCTCATATTGTATTGTACATTATGTTATTGTTCCTTTGCTTTAAACCGTAACCCTAGATTTTCATTATAAAATGAACAAATACAAAATTAAATTCCATTTGCAAATTGTAAATGGCATTAAAAAAACGATAAATAAATCACGTTTTGTGAGCTTTAGATATGTAGCCTGATCCTCAATGTGCAGGCTGATTTAAACGCATGTTTCCCACATGGTGTCTACACTTTTGACTGAAACCAAGACAATGCATGGGGATGCTATTTTCAAAGATGTACTCTTCTCTGTGAAACTGGAGCTTTCAGACTTTTGTAATGTCCCTTCACCACAGAAGCTCAACTAAGGACACAGGGACACGTTGTATGAAAGTATTCAGGCCATCAGGTGAAGCAGAACAATAGTGTCTTCCAAATGAAGTTTCATTACACTTCCTCACAAAGGCCCAACACTGACTTGCTTTATAGTCGGAGGCACCACCTAGCCCTTGGAGGTAACACGAGGCGAGATCCTGACGACTTATTGGCACCGTTTTGGGAAAGACTACGACGAGGGATGTGTTACAGGAGCTTGTGTGCTACATTTAGCATGAAACAGATAGTTACAGGAAGATTATGCCAATAAAAACATATTTCCTGTTCAGTATAAAACTTCCTAACAAATGTTGCCAAGTGCTTCAATGGAACTCATTGTCCTGACCTATGAGAACAAGAAGAGGCAACACTGTTGCATATCTTTTCTTCTGTACAAACACACCCAGTACCCTTTGGACAAGTAGTGTACTGTAATTCAGTTAATTTTCAACTACATACATGAAGCATGTTCGTGCAAGGATGAATGGATTTGTGATAACTTTGAAGTCACATACTTTGTCTTCACACTCGCAAAAACGTGCACACACATTCAGTCTTAATACCCAAATAAGGGATAATGATTAGATTGAAAGACACACTCACATACCTGAATACAATTTTCAGTATATGCATGCACACAATATAAGAAAATGCACTCAATATATAAGAATATAAAAAAAATTCTTTCTAACAATGCTTTTATATGAGATGTTATTTTGGGTTATTTTCATCTTTCTTGACAAATCTCACAGCGCCTCACCCTCTGCAGTTCCTGTGTGATGCAGCCAGTCTGATTTTGAGAGGCAGTAGTCATGGTGAGAGCCGAGCAGAGCGCACAATTTTGAAGAGGAGCCAATGCTTTTGATCAGTGGCCGGCACGCCTAAGGGCCAGGCGGAAGGACCTGAAAAACCAGCTGCCTGAGATTATTACTCTGAGCGAGGAGCAGCTCATGAGCAACAAGTGAGCAAGCGTGGAGCCTCCTCCTCCTATTGACTCTCCTCCTACTTCACATAAACACTCTGATTCGCACAGAAACAGCACACAGAGGCATCTCTGCTTCTTTTTAACCCTTTTTGTCTTTTGTTTGTGTCCGTCCCGTCTGTGTGTACCTGTCAGACTGTCACTCTAGCAGCACCTGGGACTTATTTACTCTATTGGAGTAGCTCACACACTCTTCTTAACTCTCGTGCCTCCTGCCCCGGACTTGCTGTGACTGTCAGCCCTCCACTGGTGGACTATGCCCCCATCCGCCAGCTGAGGGAGGGGGCTCTGCGCTGCTCAGGCTCCCATCTGGAGAAGGCTTGAGCTGAAATCAGAGAGGACACGGTAAGGTAAGTCTCTGCTTTTGACTCCTTTTAGAGTTTTCCTCTAAACTGTCTCGTGTGGTTTGGGGAATCATTTCTTGTCAGTGTTTTCTGTGAGAGTGCCAGCGTATGTGTGTACAGTATCTGTGTGAGGGGTTCTCCAGACAATATGGCGAGACAGCAGGTGAGTCTCGGGTGAAAGGGAATAGCTCACATTCCAGAGAGCTCTCCGATTCAGAATTCAACTTTTACTGTTGAACCTGTTAATACAATTCAGATTTATGTCAGAGTAAGGAGTTTTTAACATCAGTTCCTAGCACTATCTGCTGGTGTATCTCTTTATTGATAAGTATTTATGTGATGGAACAGCTCTACTTATCATCTAATCAGTTGCCACTAATAGGAAAGTATGACTTTTGTTTACAAAGCACTGTTGTGCCATTCAGAGTTCCCCAGTGTTTTCATAGATGATGATGTAGTTAACATTTGCATTTTTTGTTATTTGACCTGAGGAGTTGTCCTATATTTTAAGTTTGGAAAGCTTACCTGCTGCTCCTCTAGTGTGTTTAACTCTTTAGCTCATTAAATGAGTTAACAATCCTGCCATAAATGTTAATGACAAGCATTGCATAACAGCTGCACCCTACAGGTTTTAACAAGATTAAAAAAGAGTTTGGATCGTTTTGAAGTGTCACTGGGATGATGGCCAGTGTAAACGGCGTGTAAACATTTTAGCATTTTTTTATTGGCTAACAGTAGTTTGTTTTTGTTTAACAACATAGTCAATAGGTAAACAATAAAACATTTAAATTCAAAGGCCAAAAGTAAAGAAAAGTAATGCAGGGTGCAAAGAACAACAAGCAGACTATCCCGCAATATGATGTCCACTCATTTTATTTATGGAATTATGAATAAATGAATGCAATTACACTGACGCTGTAATTAGACCACCACTACTCAACTTAAAAAGTCTGATTTAACTTATTTTCACACGAGAAATAGAAATACTTGTGTCTGGCTCTGCAGATGATAAGCACAGTGCTATTATGTGTACTTTCTTTTGTTATTGCTAAACATGATTGTTATCAACTCCGATAAGCATTCTTTGAAAATATGCCTTTATTGTCCTGCCTTAGAAAGCATAGTGGACACACCAGAAAGGACTGTGTGAAAGAGTCTCGAACAAAAACATTTGCTGTTTTTTCAGGACGCTAAACTCTAAATAAAAAGTAATGTCAGTGCAGCAGCCAGAGGCTTATTTTATAAAGGGAGTGTTGATTCAGTTGATATGTTGCAAACAATAGATATAATACAAAGAGAAGGGCTCAAGGAAATCCAGCTCTACTACATTACTTTATTCTGACTAATATGATCTTAGTATTGTACAGTATTGAGTAAGGTGTTGTCCTATTGGATCATATGTGACACCTTCCTTGAAAATCAAAACCCAACATTTGAGCAAGTTTCAGTTTTTGGTATATCTATATTCATTTTAATAATCAAATACTATCAGGACAATAAACACATTGCATGCATTCAAAATCCTTAAATACACATCATTTAAGATAGTTGTCATGACCCAAGGATTTCAATTGGCTGTCAGTGGTGGAGTGATAAATGCCATCGACTGACTGATTTTTAACTCAGTGCAGCTTCTGTACACAGTTAATAAGCACAGAGATAATACCATTTAATTTTCCTTATCGAACAAATAAACACTAGATAATGTTTGAGCATAGTTTCAATGCTCTTCTTCCACAAATATTTCAGCTGGACTCACATCAATGTGAATAAGACCAGAGCGTTCATGTCATTCAGAATCAGACTCTGGTTTATAGTCACTAGGTTTTCACATCCAAGAAATGTGTTTTGATGTATTGGTGCATGACGTAAAGATAGTAAGCTCATTTGAAATTAAATATAAAATAAATTATTCAATAAAATCAAGACACATGAATATATGAAACAATAAAATAAAAATACAAAAACATAACAATTATGTCCAAAAAACTGAAATAACTAATAGAAGAATAACGAAAAAAAGGATGTAAAAATAACTATAAAATATGTACAATATATCTGAATTCCAAATGAAAGAGCTGTGCAGTTTTACAATTGATTATTTTGTGCAGGAATGTGCAAAATCGTCTAAGGAATGTGCAACAGTAAAACAAGAATACAAAATGTACATAAGATATAGTCTAAAAGGTTGGTAAACTCATCCTCCACTTTATCCCAGCTATTTTTAAACTAATATAGATTGGACAATAACTGAATCAATCGAAGCCTTTTGAAAAAAGCATTGACCAGGCTTGTTTGTGCGATCACACCACAGCACTTTTAGTTTTGTTGCCTTTCTATAAATATCCATTTGTCATGCTTTTTGTAACCATGTGAACAATACATTGTAAGATGTTGTGCAAACCTACCGTACCCTCAATGACAAAGTTCTCTCCTTTCTCCTGTTGTATGATTCTTAATAGCAATATAACAAAACATAATATTGAATTATTTAAATCATTCTTTTGCTAACCTAATTCTGTATTCAGATGATTCTTATTCAATTTTCCCCTCATGATTTGTAGATATATTGCAGTGCAGTGATGTATAATGACATAACAATGCTGTTACTACTTACACTCACATTATGAGCTGACGCACAATCATGATATATTACCTCTTTACCCAATACATCTTTTTATTAGCTAGTTTTCAAATCTCTGATGTCATATCACGTAATTTTTATCAATAACAGTGCCAGAGGCCTGTCAGTGCTGTAACAAATCCCTTAGTGACGGATTGAGGTCGATAAAAGTCATAGTTAAATCCCTCTTTAGCATGACATCTGGAAAAACAAATCATATGTGAAATGTACATCTGACATGACGCAGATGACCTCTCTGCGGTGACTTCAGACTGTGTGCTTGTAGAACTAATAGCTCCACCTGTGTCTTATTAACGCGCCTCTAACAGACAGCTCAAATATTGACTCTCACCGCCGCTTGATGAAGGTCTTACTTTGAACATGTTTATGAACGTGTGTGTGCAGGAGCCGGCGTTAAACACAATGTCTGGGAGAGTGGGGAAGAGTCGAGCAGGTTAACGGCTCTGTCTGGTTTTTCCCCGTATAAAAAAGAGGAAACTAAATCGTTCCTGTTCTGCATTGAGAGTCCGCTCTCTAAAAAAGCAATAAACGATTTGTTTACTGAGGGTGGAAGAAAGGATATTGAATCTGCCATGTGAGTGAATAGCTGCAATTTGTGGAACAACAAACAAACTATTATTACAGCAAGAAGAAGAGTAGATACTGACGTCAAAGTGATATGATTAGTTGAAGCTTCAAATTCCTTTGCCTAAAAATCATAGAAATCCTGTTATTGGTGATATCTTTGGCTTTATTGTTAGCAGAAGGAGGCCAGCCGTCAGCACTGTTACATCACAGGAAGAGGATCCTCTGTTTATGTGGATTTTATTAATATTGTTCTGACATTTAGACCTATTTCTTGCCATTGTCCTTTACTAGCACTCACATTTGAATTGCCCTTCTGTTATCGTGACAATAAATGATGTATGTTAATTGTTTATGGCATATCCAGTGTGTGGATAACTACATTTATCAATTGATGGTGCTATTTGGTTATCACCCAAGCTATTTAGAAGCTGTTATTTTGTGTATTTGAAGAGATAGTTCCCCATGTTATGACCTTATCATGGAGGGATAGATGAGCTGGTTATTACCGATCTCAAATATATCAGTACAATAAAAGCGAAACTACAGCCAGTGGTCACTTATCTTAGCTGAGCATAAAGAATGGAAGCCAGGGTTAACAGTTCTACACTTGGGATTTTCTCAGAGGTCAATGTCTTCTTTTGTCTGAGTAAAGGTCAGATTTTCTCCTGAATTTGAGATCTAGATGAATGTGAAGAGGAAAATCAAACAACAATTCTGTCTAGTAATATTTCACATAGTGTTTTAACTTATCTTAAAGTTGATGGAAAACATTTTCTGTGATATATACTTAAAGGAGCGGTGTCATGCTTTTCCAGTTATTGCCCGTCCCCTTGTGTGTTATGAAGGTTTGTATGCATGTAAACGGTGTGCAGAGTCAAAACCCTCAAAGTACACCCTGTAGCGAGTAAAACTCTAACACAGAAAAAATACCTCCCCAAAACGCCTCGTTGGAGATACGTCATTGTCCATTTGATTCTTCCGGGTACGGGCTGATGTAATCCCGTACCCGGAACGAAATGGACCAATCCGTGGAGCCGTTACATTAAGCCCCCGCTGATTGGTCCAAATTGACCAATCCACGGACTTCCTCACACACAGGCAGCTCTGCTGATTTCTCCTCCCTGGCTGCAGGCTGATAACAGACAGTTGGGATCGCGGCAAAATTCTCTCTGCAGACCCATTCTCACAGCGTTTATCAACCTTTTTCTTACTCAATATCAAGCCACACTTATTGTTTTTACTTCGGATGTGACTTTGTGTGTGCTCAGGATGAGTTTGGCTGTGTTTCGCTATGTATGCTAAACAAGGAAACAACACCTCCACGGAGCTCAGCGCGATTCACAACGTCCCGACCAATCAGAGCACACTGTGCTCACAGGGAGGGTGGGGGCTGGAGCTATTGGAGCTACAACGAGCCGTTAAAGGCAGAGAGTGAAATTCAGTGAATACAAGTAGTTTACAGAGATGCTGTATGAGAAACCAATGTGAGTTTGGAAAAATGCACAGTATAAATCTATTTTAGTAGACCTCAACAATGGAATTATGATCAGTGGAAATGGCCATGACGTGTCTCCTTTAAGATATAATAAGATGGATATCAATTAACATCTTGGTGGGGGTTGAATGCAGCGGAAATATTTTGTGTGTGGTAAATATACTTAAGTCTCTTCATACTGCATCATTAAAATAGGCATCTTTTAAACAGTTATTAATTAGATGTTCCTGCGTAACACTTTTGGCAGTCCTCAGGGCAATTATGGTGTTTGCTAATTAGGCAGCGCCAAAACAAAAGTTG